GGAAAGAGTAGAATAGCATTAGTATAGGCTTCAAGCAAATCTAGAAACTGCCTGAAAGTCTGTGCTAAAATTAAATAAATCAAAATGCTAATTCTTTTAAATGGAAATAACATTCTGGGGAGACAAGCTAATGAAGCCAGATGTGCAGGCAGACTGCAGCAAGGCTGAAGCCTGCATCCGCATGCCTTCTCCAATGGAGAAGGAATAAGAACAAAGACTGTGCAGAGAAATGCATGGAAAATGTAGCTTTCTGGATACACAACCCAAAAATGAGAAGATCCAGTATACACGGGGCATAACCTGAACAGAAGGTAAAAAGCACAGAAAATGCCAATTAAAGTGCCAAAAGTACTGAAGTACTAAGAGTCTAAGTTATTTAGTAATGTTTCAAGAGACAGCACAAACACAAGTGGGATTAGTGGACTTAAAAAGTTGCTCAGAAAAAATGGTGCAAGGAGCCACATCCTCATGCTGGTCACCTCAGAGGCTAAACTGAACCCTGATAACCTCTCTCATTAATAGAGTCAGCATGAGAGCATCTCTGCTAATGTTTGTTAATGGTTTTGTGTTATTTGTTTGGAAATGAAAGCTCACCCCTTTAAAAGGGTTTAGGCTGAATAAGTTGAAACTGACTGTCATGGAAGTGTGAAAACTCAGGGTGTCTCATGCCAATCCATTAAAACCTGGATGCTGAGTGCCAGCTTGGTCAGGCCCCTTGGCCCTGAACAACACACCCCGGCCCACCTGCTGCTCTTATCCTGAAGAAACTTATGAGCTTGAGAACCAGTGGCAATGCTTTGAAGCAGCAACGAGGAGTGGTGCTGGGACAAGAGACCAGAGGAGCGCTGGGAAGCAGAAGCATCAAAAGGACCAGGAATCAGAGCACTGTGAAGGGCAGTGAGGTTTAAACAGCAGAGCAGGGAAAGCAGGAACTTGGGAGTCACAGAGACAACACGGCGTTGAAATATAATGCTGCAGAATCAAAGAGAATCGAAGCGTGATGGCAATAAAAAGCAAAGACTGGAACGATGTTTAATCCAGCCACAACTATTTTGAGAAATACCATGGTGTCTCCTAGCTACTTAATTTCAACTATTTCTTTCTCTTCTCAAAGGCACGAGGTGGGCCTCAGAAGTACAGTGTGACAGGCTGGCTGCAGATTCAAGGACTCAAAAAATCAGATGAAGGCGTTTACATCTGCCACACCAAAAACAAGTATGGTGCAACATATGCCTCCGCAAGATTGAAAGTCATTGAAGGTATCTTTTTTTTTTTTGGATGTGAAGAATATAAGAATGCATAGAAGCAGGCTGCAAAGGGTGGATTTGTCAGAATGCAAATGAAGGATATGAGAAATTACCTTAAGATGTCCATATTTTAACTTTTCTGTGTGCTTTTCTTTTACTTATCCCCTAATGGGAGATTCAAAAGTCAGAAGTGCTTATGAATTCAGGGAAAAAAAATACTTAACGTTAATATTGTAGTATTTTGCTGCAAATCGTACCAGCTTCCAGAAAGCTGAGGATGATGGCCACAGAGCCGAGACATTATCCTTATCCATATCCTACAGAAGTCTTTTGATGTTAGTAGGAGCTCTGCACCCAGAACAACAGCTGCTGTAGCTGAAGGAGTCTTTGAACCATGGCAGTTCTGCTTAGCTGTTTATTTTTCAAAAAGTTAGGAAGGAAACAGTTGTTGCTCCTTAATGAGAGCGTTTGGAAAGATCTAAGAAATAGCTTTACTATTGTTTTGCATTGGGCCCAGTCCTGCAGAATAACATCCTTCTTCCTCCGGGGAGAACTGGGTTTCCTGGCAAATGCAGGATAAAGATGCATTGTCTTATATTTGCCACTGGGTCTAGGGGAGCTCGTCACTGGTCTAGTTTGTCACTGACCTTGTTTCAGCAAGTGTTTTTCAAAACCTTATTGGCTCTGGTCATATTTTCACGTGCACAGGATCTGCAGAGGACTGAACTCATGGTTTACTAGTATCTGGAATTAAATGTATTTTCAACATCTTAAAATGTGAATGATATAGAAATTTGCTCATATACCATGAGCTTTGATAGTATGAGGCCAAGCCATCAGATAAAAACCCTTGCGTTTTAATACATGACTTAACTAGGATTCAGAAACACTGAGCTTGCCGTACAGACCTAAACCCATACTTTCCTCTTTGTTCCTATCTACAACTAATTTAATCTAGATTCAATTATGTCTTGCAGGCTCATCTGCATTTGCATTTACTGCTGGCAGTAGAAGCGCAAGCTACAGTGTTGAATATGGGGACTATTATGACTATTCTGATGATGAAGATGAGGAAGAATATGAATCTGGGGACTATGAAAATTGAAACAACTCTGAATAATAATTTCTGTTCATCTGTTCTCCAATACCTTTCACACTCTGTTATATTTACGAGTAGTCTCTGTGCTGTAAACGGCTCCTCTGATAACACACACATTCACTTGTGTATCCACCTTCCTGAAATTCAACCTTGGCTGAAGTGTATCATGCTACTTACCAGAAATAAGAACATTTGTAAATCCATACATTTAGACTGTTAAATAAAACTTTTAAACATGCACCGGTCTACTAAGTATACAGAAGGGATCAATTTTTATATTAATTTTTAAAATGTAAACTATCTTATAATTTCTTTCAAACATTCTAATTTGTCTAGCAAAAATGTCCATAGCTAAACAAGATTTTTACCTTGTATCAATTTCCTTTTTTTCTATAATGTACTAAGAAATTTCAAGATATTGTTCACATGGCAACAAGCCTAAGTATAAAGGTTGCAAAACAGTCTTTAATCTCTTTAGTTCATGTTTTCTCATAAGTTTCAGCAAGATTTTTCTTCTCATTTGAAATTTCCCATGGTTAGTCTCATCAAGGGCAAATTATCTGTCCTTTGACGCGGTATTTTGTTTACTTTTAATAGATACACGAAGCAATCATGGTCTAAAGCAAGTGCGTGCTGTTCTACTAGCAACACTAAAAAAACCCAGAAAAGATTTCTTGTGCATACGAACAGATGAGTGCACCTTCTGACTTCTTTTTCTAACAGTTCTTGCACTACTCCTAATGGCGTCAGCTTCTTCCCACCAGCCTAGTTATCAGTTCAAGATTTGGGATCATTATTTGTAATCTGAACAGCATCATGTTTGGTGAGAATTACTGCAGTTTAAAGAAGGTGGCCATTCTGTAGCTCCGTGCATGCCCTTCAAACACAGAGAGATCTGCCCACCAGGCCAGCATTTGTCCTTTGCCTTGGACTCTGTCCAAGACTTGCTCCTATATCTGACCTGCCTATAATATGTCCAGATAAAGTGCATTCAGAATTACCGTGCTTCTGGAAATGGCAGACAGAAAAGCAGGCATTGTTTTCTTTCTGAAAACCACCAGAACACATGCATATTTTTCAAATTGTCTCAACCACCTCTTGATCAGCATGAACCAGACAGCAAATGAAATGCAATTCAAAAACTCAAGACTTCAAAGTGTAAAATGATCACCCTGAAAAATTTCTCCAATTGCTTTTGTTACCTGAAGGCTGGCTCCAAATTAATGGGTGATGGAAGATACTAAACTATGAAAACCACTTTTGGGAGGCAGTTAAACCTATTGGTTCCCATTGGCCGAGGACAGATGAATAGCAGTAAATTACTGAATGACAGTAATGACTAAGGAAGCAAAAGTTCAGGCATCTACATGCATTTGCAGTCGTCTTTATCCAGTGCAGAAAATCATGTAGCGATTACTGCACACACTGAGGTAACTCGAAGTGAAATTAATGGTGTTAAGCAAGCTTTAAGGGCAATCTTACTGTATGCGTGCACATACTGCGTAGATTTTTTTAACAGTGCATCACACATTCCTCCTTTAATGTGCTGTTTTGTGCTTTTTTGCCATTAGGCAGATTCTTCCTTTCATTTTGAGTTACATTAAGAGATTGGCTATAGACTGTGTTTGCCCTGAGGTATTATTAATCTTTGTCCAGGTAGCAAACAAGCAAAGAATAATTTATACTGTTTCAGGCTTCCTGAAGTATGGTCAACTTAGGAGTATAAAGCATGCCATTGTGTCATTGAAAAGATTAATTAGTTTTAATTAGGAGTATGAAATGGCTTCATATTTAACTACTGATTTTGTTGTTATGGGCTCTTCCTGGTCTTCTCAGTGATATGTCTAATAACTTCTTTTGCTTAGCCACTATATATTAATTTGAACATAAAATTGTCTGGTAGAAATCACTGATTTTTTTTTTTTTTTAGGTGGGTATTTTTTATGGAACTATTTAATCTGCAGACGTATATTCAAGATCAATTGTGATCTGCATTGCAAATGAATGAATTAGATTACTAAACCAATCACTAAATTGTGGCGATGCATACTGGCACAGACTAGTACATGGCACAGAAAATAATCTTGAAATCATTAGCCATAGAAATAAATTAGAATTCTTCAGGGCCTTTTGCTGTTGTTAATGTAAAATGAAAAAAAGAAAGAAAAGAATGTTTAAATGAAAACATGTGTAGCAGAACCATATCAAACACCAGTCTGTGAGTGTTTGGCCTGATGGGCTATGTCTATTTAAAAAAAAGCTAACCTTCCCAGAACAAAAGGTTCTAAATTAAATATATTGCATTTGTCTCTGGATGTATTTTTTTATATATTCAATAACTTGTTATGTTAAATTATCAGCCATTCCTTTCAGTAAGAAAACTGCATTTTAGGAAAAATCCCAATGTGATGCAAAAAAAGACAAGAACACTGATACCCTGAACATTTGCTAGTTCTTTTTTTGGGGGGACAGAAATGGCTGGTTTTGTTTATATGCTTCAATCAGGTCACTTAAAATTAAATAAAAAAAAAAGCATGGAGAAGATTCATCCCTCTCTAAGCAGCGTGGCAAATGAATGGATCTAATTGTGAACACATTGCCTGTAGCAACAGATCTAGTCACATAAACCAAAGTAACAGCAAATTCAGGAAGTTGGGTTTATTCCACCTAGCAGAAAACGAGACAGACGAGCTGGAAACTGTATATTGATACTGCAGGGAGGTCTCAGTACTGTATCTTGTGAGGCAGACCTAAAACCCTTCTTTAATTCAGCTTCCACTGAACACAGCAAGAATTTTGTTGTTAAATTCCATAGAAGCATGTCTGAATTTCATGGCATGGCTTCCATGGAGTCCATGCCTGACACACAAGCATCTTCACTGTGTCACCCCCCCCTCCCATGTAAAGATAAAGGAATTGTATAAAAGTTCCTAAATAAATTGTACTCCTTGATGCAGTTGTCCTTTGGGCTAGGACTCTGACATAGTCTGGGGTAGTTTCACAATCTAACATTCTTTCTTACTGTGTTAAATCTCAGGAGTTTTGTCAGGTATTAGGCTAGGAATCCATTAATTCTTTAGCTAGACCAATTTTTTTCCCCTTAAAATAATCAGGCTGTAGTTGACAGAAATCGGATATAGAAATGCAATTGCCTGCATCTCAGAGATTAAAATGATTCAACTGATGATTAAGTAAGGTACAAATGGTCACATGGCTGCACTTTGCAGCTAAGCACACAGCTGAGCAAGAGCTCCTGCCTACCTCATGGTACGAGCTTTGTCCTCTCAACTTCTGTCCGTGCTCATCTGGCGACACAGAAAGGAGACCCAGGCTGGACAGAAACAGGCATTTCTGGCTAAGAAGAAACACACTTGCTCCAGACAAGCTGGAAACTGGCTCACTGCTGCAAAAGCCGCAAGCTCTCCCTTACACTTAGCTACACATGCTGTCCATCTATCACGCTCTGCTCTTTAACTATTTTAACTTACTAACCTCCTTTCTGCATGTCTTCTCATAGCTTAGCGGCACAGCCTCAGCAATGACCTGGCACCTGGAGCAGGATTCATAGTCATTGCTAGAGCTGACCTTCTGCTCACAGGGTTGAGGTCTATGAGGGATACACAAGAGCTTCCTCTTACCTTTTTGACTCATATTGGCAAGCTGCTTCTGGCTCTTTCGACAGTTTGTAACTGTGTTGCATCAGAAAGTGTCCCAAGTTTTCCGCATTATAATTTATGGCTGACTTCTCTCACCCCCGAGTCACCATTTCATTCCTTGTTCCTCAATCCTGGGAATTCCTCTGTTTTGATCCATCCCTCTGCTCTCATTTTATATCCTTTCTGTTCCCTTTCTTCTGTGTGTATCACCAGCCCTTTTCTTCTGCTCTTGGTACATTTTGTGACTTTTCCTTCCTTTTATATTATGGCTATAGATAAATGATTCTATTTCTTCACGGGGTAAAGGATGAAAAATGGAGTTAAGGCATATGCCAGGACTGAGGCAGGCACCAGGGGACTCTGTAATCCAAACCAGCTTTTTGAGAATGATCCATTTGACTTTTGGAAGTACCAGACACCAGTCACTTGTGAGGGCAAGAGAACAAGAAACTCAATTTAAAACCATTTTCTATTTTGATTTTGCTTCATTCTCCAATAATTAATGAAGATACTTTGTGCAAAAGCATGTAGTTCAGTGACAGTATCACCTGTGATAGTTCACGTACAAAGAAATTACTCTTCCTGCCCCAATTAGTTTGTCATAACTGTTTTTCAGCCCCACTACTAGAAGGTGAATCCAGCTAAGGAATTTACCCAATTCATTTTTTCATTCCAAGTCTAAAGCAGCTTCCATTTCCAGAGGAATTCTACCAGTTTGGGCATCTTCTTTGGGGCTACCTGGCTTCACATAGGAATTTTTGCAATGTGGGCGACGGAGCAGCAGGGAAACATGAATAATTTTACACAAAGTGCTCAGGCTCTCCTATCACCTGTTAACCAGAAAATTACATGGACTTTTGATCACCACAGTGTTCAGAGCAGGGGAGGTCAAGGCAAAAATTCTTCCTGTTGTGTTAAAACAGCAAACAGCAGTATGCCCAACAAAAATTTCAAGATTTTTGGGTGCAATATTCATAAATGCTGGCAGCTGGCTATAGCAGCAGTCCTTGCTGTCTCGTCTCTGTTGCACTTTATCTATGGTTACTTAATCCTCCTTCTTCCCCATGCCCGACTCCAGAGTTGTCTTATGAAGCCCAAACCGATACACATTGCTGAGTTTTACCCTGGGCTCTGTTTGGCTCCATACTGTACAGTAGCACTGCTCATGTTTAATAGGACAAGGAATACAGAGATGCTACTCTTGCTTTGGCCTTTTTGTTAAAGGCTTGTTGCTCTCTGATTGCACACAATGCAAAGTTGTATGAGCATGCCATCTGTGACAGGCTCTGCAACCCACGCTGTACAGTCGTGCCAATTTCTGCCCAAGACAGCAGCTCATGTACCTACAGC